AAGCTGAACAAACCAGTTTGACCTAGAACTCGATCTGAATGTCAGAAGTCGAACCGTGAACGCTGACCTAATATAAATTGTACGCGCCAGGAAATGAGTCAGACTACAATACAATTCTTACTTGAATGCCTTCTTCACAGACTGGACGAACATTACAGTAACTAACAATAAATAAACCACTAACTTACGTGTACTATTAGAGCATTTATGTCATTTATTTCAACTTTATTTTACCAGGTAAATTAACTGAAAACCAGTTCTCACTGCTTTACGTGATACTCAGGAGAAATAACAGATTACACATCGGAACTGCCTGGGATACAAGCGTCATGCGTGTAACTAGACTCTTCAGCCAATAAGGGCAAAGGTGTGTCGTCACGGAGGCGGTTCCAGTTTGTGCAGCCGGTCGCAATGCATCCAACCATAATGCAACATAATGCGTTGCTTTAAACCAAGTTGAACGCACCCAATGACCAGACTGGGGAAACAAACTGAAACGCGGACTCAATACAGAGGACTAATGACAAGAACCAGAAACAGCCGATCACATGGGGATCCCACACGAGGTTAACGAGGGGGCGTGGCACAAGGAAGAAACGGACGATCGGGGCTGGACGGGTAATGTTGGGATAAGATCTTCATCGTTTTGGAAGCCATTAAGAAAAAAATGCTCTTCTTGTTTTATACTGTTCATTTTGTGTTTAAATGCTAAAAAAAAAAAAAAACTTATTTAGGTGTAATTTTAATTGATTGGTTTTCCATTATTTCGTATGGGGAAAAATTCGATCAGAACTCAAACTTTTTAGGATTAGATCCAGAGTCCGGAACGGATTAAGTTAGAGAACCGTGTGTGTGAATAAAGAGTGAAATGGAATCAAAAAAATAGTACAATTCTGTGTTATTAATAATCTTACATATCAGAACTGTAATACGTACGTAATACACTTTACATAAGCCATGAGGTACCAAACTGTGCTTAATAAAAGATGGATGGAAAAGAACAAAGAACATTGGACACGACATATCAGGAATCAATTGTTTATTATTTTCAGATAATATATAATAGCGTGACAGCGTGTAGTCAGAGTATGGAATAGTCTTCCTGATAACGTAGTGCAAGCTGAATCCTTGGGTTCCTTTAAATCAGAGCTAGATAAGATTTTAACAACTCTGAGCTATTAGTTAAGTT